AGGTTCATGGAGGCATGCAAGCCATCACACCACGTCAAGGTGCAGTCTCGTCGTGATGGGATGTGGTGTATTGTGTTTGGGAAATGAAAAACGGCCTGATCAGCTGCCCGGCGGTCAATTAAGCAGTATACTTGCGTTTTACTTATGATGATGAGATACAGCCATGTTGAAACAGCTGCCCAGTGCTTCCCAGCTTCGCAGTTCACGTTTTTTTCTCTCTTTACACGAAATTCACTGTATGCAAGGAGATAAGCTGATCTGCTGTGTAACACTAGTTTCCAGACTTGATACCATTGGGACAAGTGAACTGGTGCCGATCTGTAAAATAATCATACATCCAGTAAAGTAGACCGGGTGGTTAACCCATGAGGAACAGTATAGCGTCATTCACCGTAGGCTCTGTTATCTTTTACTGGATGCTCATCTTTCATTACGCATGAGTTAGTTTATAGCAAATAAACAAAACCCGTGATCAGCAATACCGCAAAGAGAGGGGAGGGAATTTAGGGATCATTCAAGTAAGAACCAGATTGTTGATTTTGTTTTGCAGGGATAGTAGGTGATTGGGGATGTAGGAGTAAGGTTTTGTCACAATTTTCGGAGTCCTGGGTTAAATGAAGAATAACAGAAAGAAGTCTGACATATGGAGACGAATCTCATGTGAGTGACTGGTCATACGTGATCGAGATAAGCGGGAAAACGATATGGAAAGTGGGGCACCACCGATGCGAGTCTTGGACAGGAACGGAAATAGTAACGATGGAAAAGACAAGATAAAGCAACTACCCGGCAGCGGGAGAGCGACTGTAGATCGCCGAACAGCTTTAAATTGAACGCGGTCAAGAAGTGGAAGTGCAGGACACGAAGGTCCGTCGCGCAGGTGACTGCAGCATTTAACTGTCTGGTGGCTTTGAGCTTTGTATAAAGTGAGAATATGGACGGGCGTAAAGAAGGGTCGAATGCTGCATAAGAAACCAATTGAATCTAGCCTGATAAGCAGGTGTAATGATAAATGAAGACCAACTTAGAGAAGAATTTAGTGGATAAACCCTAGTCAGATAGAACTCGGAACAAAATGGAGCAAGCCAAAGTTCAATTGTGGAGAATAGGAACCCTTTTATAATCCAGGGCGACAAAAGTATCAGGGTCACTGAACCGGTACATAATTCACAGTCCTCATATTTTTTCTATATTCATCCCGGTAATCATTTCTTCGGATTCGGGAGCTTGCACAAGCCGGTTTATCTTTTCAAGCAAGATCGGCAATCTAATCAGTTTGGATTCTGGATCCGAAGATACTTTCCTGATCAAGCATACTCTGTGTAATACGGTGTCGGTGGAACGTTATCTCTTGGAATTCGGTTATTGTAGCCCCGATGACAGCGCTCGAGGGCGGGTATTAGCTATTTAAAGTTGGTGTCTGGGGGTTAAGCGAGCTGGCATTATTGTTTGCAGACGTTTCGTAACCAAGCTAGACAAAATCATCAGTGCGACAACAACACTTCCAGCTCAAAGAACCCTGCAACATCAAGATCCGAATACCGGGCTACAATAATTCGACAATATGTCGCCCACATGCACTATGTAGGCTTGTATTAACGTGCGCATTACTGATAAGTAACGAGATTATTGATAGCACACAACAAAAATAGAGTTCTCAAACAGTAATCCACACACACACGCATGCTGATCCATGGTGAGAAACCAACCGGTAATTACAGAATTTGCGTTGTTCTTCAGGAAAGCATTTGATCAGCTGTTATCGAGAACCAAACTGTTATACGGGACAGCTGATTGTAAGCTCCTTCTCCACAATCGAAGCGAGATTGAGGATTGTTTATTTTGTTCATGCGGCGACATGGGGATTTAGAAGTTTCCTTCCTTCTCCCGTCTTGTGTAGTTCCGGGATAGAATGAACGCTGAGTGAAACAGAACACGTGCTTAATATGATCAGGAAAATTACTTAGTTAACGAATGCACCGAATTCCATCGGTCAGATTGTTCAACTCGTTTTCGACAAATATCAGTCCTTGTTTCCGTGTGAACCACTTTGTCCGGGGTGATTGCCCGCTTTCGACGGGAAAACAATATTAAGTTGTGCATTTCTAGCCACATAGGCGTCGACGATTTTTTCTCTCTCTCCACCCCCCAAATTGAACGTCCACTTCTCACACCCTATACCGTTTCTCCTCTTCCCTCCCCGCACATATGCCTTGATGTTCGGCAGTTTCGTTTGTTTCTTTTTCTTTGATTCATTTCTTCTGTTGACAAAACCCCCATTCCTTTTTGCACATTTACCACATTCTAATCCCGATATGCTCGGGACATTTGGAGAAATTCTTTCAATTAGCTTCTAATTAATTTTTTTCGTAAACTTTCCTTCCTTGGATGCACCGTAATTTATGTTCACTGTTGTACTTTTTTCTGATATGTTTGTTGGTTTCGAGTTTCACACTCTCGGGCACGCATCATTTTCCTATGATTAATTTGCATCTTCCTTTCAAATCGATTGTAGATTTTACCGCTTCATATTTATGTTTGACCTTGGTTATGCGTGTGATCGATTGGGCTGGTGAGGATGAGAGAGAGAACAGTCTAACAACTGTTGACCAGAGGTCACGAGGACTTGGTTTCCAGTTTCATTATCGCCACTGCGATGTTGTATGAACGTTTTCCTTTTTAGCATGGCCAGTACCATAATGTAGGTGATCGGAGTTGAGTTGGTCGACAGTGTAGTGGTTATTCATTGTTAGTGTGTCTCATCGCTCACTGGACTACTTTTTCATTCATTTTGAGAATTGTCAGTGATATTGTAACCCATCTCTGGAGATGTAGAATTTTGAATTTGATTCGTTAGTACCATGCTATCCGGCCCGGCTCGAACGACTGACAGTGGATCCTGCTATTCAATATTGACCATCGTTACTCCGACCTAGGTGAATCCGGTAGATCTGCGCTCGGATCTTACCTCTACGATTACTCATGTTCCTTTGATCGTCTGGATATTTGGGGTATTGGCTTCCTTTTTGATTCTATTCAAGCTAGGCCATTAGTGGCTTGGAACTAGGAGAATATCGACCGAAGGAGAAACGACTGACGTGACATATATCGGCTCATTTGCATTATGCTTGATTCCAGTATCACGTATTTAGTGATGAAGCAGTCATTCGGTTCCATTCGAGTTCGAGAACTAATGACCTTGGACATTGGTGCTCTGTTTTTGTTTAGTGGGTATCGCTGCCTGATCCCTGACCGAATTTAATTCAGGCTAATCCTTTAATGCTCACCTTACTTCTTACATTTAAATAACACTGTATATTTGTTGGACCAGGTGTCCGCCGCCATCCGTTGATCCGGTTATTGTTGCTTTCGTTCGTTGCAACAGTAGAACAGCGTTGTGGTCCCAACAAGACGGAGCCCCTCGTCAGACCAGTTGGACCAAAATGAAGTTCATGGATCAAACAGGCATTTCACCATTTCATGGCACTGACAATTTTTTTCCAGAATACCGTTAGGTGTATGTAAACCGACATGAAATCGCCGAAGTTTGATAAGCCGATTACTAACAAATTCGAGGGATGTCAGACAGATCATTGGCATCTTTCGTGAGATCGTTGAACCGGAAGTGGAAGTTGAGAGCTTAACAGATACTTCATTATGTTTTTTTATATCAATTATTTGTAAGTCAAATTGCTATTTGAAAATATCCAGTTGAATTATTGTTCAATTGCTCACCCTACTTTGTCTTTTTCAGATTAGCGATTTAGGCGGAGGAATCCCACGTTCCGAGTTAGAAGTTGTGTTTAATTACACCTACACGACTGCTCGTGGTGGAGGCAAGAATAAACCACCCGCCCCGATTGGTGAAGGTGGAAATGCACCGCTGGCTGGCTACGGGTACGGATTACCGCTAAGTCGATTGTATGCGAAATACTTCAACGGGGATCTGATTCTCGCTAGTGTGGAAGGTTACGGAACCGATGCGATTGTCTACTTGAAACGAAATGCCGCAGAGGCGGACGAACTCCTACCGGTATTCAATCGAACTTCGGCGCGACAATACGAAGCTGCAGGTATCCCCGTGGCCGACTGGTCTAATCCACAATTCACCACAGGTTGGAGACGCACATAACCGACCGACCGGCCGACAGTCTATCACTATCCAGCACCACCGGTTCTAGTTCAGCTGAAACATTCTGGTCCTCTGTAAATTTTCGCGGGAGGGAGGAGGCGGGTGCCTTGCCAGCATAGATCTGCATTTCTTACCACATTTGCTACCACACACACACAGCATATTTGTAAATGAACATATATATTTAGTTTCCAAGATATTCTGATCTAGCCTATCGGTAGCACACGTCTCTGGTTTAACTCGCTTTTGTTCTATTCACTGTTTTTGCTTTTCTAGTACTTGTGATACATACATACTGTACTGTCCTCGTCCACTTCTAATCCCATTTCCCTTATTCATTCGACTTCTTTCTGTTGAGTCCTATGACCGATTTGTGGTATGCATGAATACACGCGTTTATTTCTGTTGGCTCACGGCGTGTGCGGTACAGTTCTCCCGTCGCTCACTCTCTCCTTTTGTCAAGGCTTTTATGCATTTGTGGCCCACTTCAATGGTTAGAAATGTGTTACATTACAAAAACGCAATGGGATCACGTGCCTAGTGACATGCATCTCCGTCATCAATGCCGTCTTATTTCGATATACTGGTTTTTCCAGTATGGATCCACCCTGTTTCGTGTTATGCCAGGGTCTTTCTGCCTTGCAACTGTTCGCATACGAATTCTCAGCTGTTTTTATTCATCCGGTAGTCTGTTTGTGACCCCGCGTTTTTTCCCATTGTGTAGAAAAATGAATTGAACTAGATTGGCCAATTCAAAGTTATGTTCTAATGGCTTTTCAGACTCCTTTCTCTTGTTCGATGGCATATAAAATGTGCGTATCGATCCGGTACCCCTGTCCGGGGCATTCTTGGACAAATTATAACTACTGCTTTGTGACTTGCTCTGTCTGTCTACTGATTGCCGGCCGAGTCGTTGTTTGTTGTGTGACCACGGATACAAAAAGCACCCTGCTTGCATCACATGACTGTTGTACGGAGGCCTGCGATCATCGATAGCCCAAGTTTTGTACATAAGTTCGGTGACCGAACCCAGAACATACGAACAATCCGATCATGTTTGGTCGCGTTGTAATACCATCCTACAATAATTGATGTTTTTAGCTACAAAGGTAATGAGGTGTTTTAAGAGACGCGGCATGTGGCCTACAGGCATGTTCCTATTGAGTGCGGTTAGTGATCGGATATCACGTAGTATGACATTTTTCCGAACCACTCGTGAATGAAACGGACTTCTATTTCCGATTGAATGAACTGCATCTACCAGCTCTAGTTTCTGCTAGTGGTTGCACTACATCCCTCACAACTTACTGTGTTATTTGCTGGGTTGGGCGAATGAACGCCTGTTCTGTCATAATAACTCTACTAAACGGTTGAATTTGCTGTAAATTTCATCTGATCCAAGGTTCAAACTTCTTTGAATGCAGAATTTAACTTAGTATACAAAAAGCCGCATCATGGCTGTTGTGTTTCGATGTCACAACGATCTGTTTCCATGTTTCCTCGTAAACTGACCAGTATGGTACATAGCTCAAACGAGACGGGCTTGGGAGATGTCGTTCGTGAATTCGCGAACTGTTATATCAACGTCGCTGTGGTTTCATTCGCAGTTTCGAAGTATGCCCGTTTACTTTATTGCCTGTAATCGGTAAGAGTCAAAGCCGATTGGTCCCATATCTGGGACCACTTTCAAATCCACCTGAAATAGACTATTCAGTCCTGGAGTCCCTGACTGAAATGTGCTTTTAAGGCTTTGAAGCATTCACAGAAGATATTCACACAAAGGTCAACTGATGGCGTTCCAATACTCATGTGAGGAAACTGCAATCACTGGCCGTCGACGAGTTCATGTACCTCTTTCTGTTATAAAGGTTATTGTACCGTGATTTAGTTGGCAAACTGTCTGGGCACAGACGTGTGTGAAGTATATCGCCGAATGGGAGGAGAATCCATTTGGATGTATCAAATTTAACAGAATCCTAGCCCACCGTGTCATTCGCTGCTCAAGTTGTGGCTCAACTTTTACCCCAAAGAGCGTTCGTTCAACATATTGCCCCGAGAATATTGAGAGGAATGCCGGTTTGATTTGTTTGCCACCCAGTTGTTCTCCGCTTGGCTTCAATACGCACGGGAATTCATCAGCTTTCGTTTTCAACTCACCTGTTTCGGATGTACCGGTTTTTCTGTGTTAGATGATAACTTTTCATCACCTCTTTTTCTGTTCATCTCCTGTGTTTTCAATTCGGCAAAATGCAGAAAAGCACTAGATACCTCGAACTCATTAAGCTCCACAGTATATCAGTGCGTACCCCCATGAAGTCCACTGTACGTGGTTCGCAGTTGATGGTTTTGATTTCTTTTGTTTACACACTCGTTTTGTGGTGATGTAAAACCAACCGTTCGAACAGAAAACAACATCTGCGCTATGCCACACGAAGTACAAATTATCTATCACACCTTTTCCAACCTTAACCGGTTCATTTCGGCGGCTCCGTTCGAACCCATTAAGCTTCTGTGCTGCACTCACTCATTGCATACGGGGTGCGAGATGCAAGCAAGGTGACCTTGGACCGACATACCCATTTCTATGGAATTGATAACCTTTTCGGAATAGCTTTGCAATCAGACGGACGCAGTTGATAACGACTGCACGAATGCCATCTCGATAACATGTCCGAAAAGCATGACATCAGGTCCACATGTGCACAGCCTTTATCATGCGTGGCACCAGTTTGATGATGAAGCCTGTCAATCAATATGGTCCACCACATCGCACATCTATGTTTGCACAGGGTGCAGTAGATTTGATCGTGGATTTCAAATAACAGCTCCCATCGAACTTCACGAGCTACTTAACCCTTTGACGCATTTATTTGAATCCCGAAATGGGATGTTACAACTGGCGATTCGTACATGGGTCAAAATCACCCTTAGCCACCCAACACAATTCAATCTCAGACTTCACTCGCCCTGCCTTCTAGTCAATCGATATTTATGGCCAATTCTTCACGCCAGATGTGTACGACGTCCACTTTACTCATGTATCTCCCGATTATCCGCATCACTCTCAAGCATGCATTGGCTTCCAGCAATCACGGCTGTCATAGAAATCCCAAAAATGTAATCAAAGTTCGGATGACTACTCCCAATTCAAATATGTCCCTAGTGGCTTAGTTCAGTCGTCGTTAAGTCACTTTAGGATTTCATGCATCCGGTTCTGTTTAAACATTTCACAGGAGCAAGACCAATCATCAGTATGTATTTGTATTTCACACACATCTGAATTCAGACTATGTGCTAAATAAATCATAGTGCAGTAATCCTTATAAAAAAGAGAAAGTTCCATGATTTGTTTGTTGGCTGGTTGCCCAGACCAAAACAAGTGAGTCTTCTTGGGAAATTCACAACCGGGGCCTTCGGCTAGCCAAAACCTAACCCGCGGGGCGGTGTATGGAAAACACAATCTATTGGGGACCAGTGTCCAGTTCATCGGATCATGCATCCAAGGTGTTCAAAACACCTCGATACCCGATCGAGCCGTTGGCCAAAACTACGATCTAGTTTGGGTGTGTTCCGTACGCCTGTTTTCGGTTGGTTTGGAATCGGGATTTTTAGCCAACTCGTGAGTGAACTGCCGGTGTTTACGGACCCGGATATTGCCTTTTCGTCCTCTTACTTTGGTGGGGAAACACCACGAGAAAACAGTGAGTAAGGCTTCCTTAGCAGAGGCTATTTGAGGCACTTGGTCGTATGGAAGCGTTTCGCGGGGTGCAAAGTGGGGGTGACCAGCTGCAATCCGAAACACTCCCCCCCCGATCATATTGAGGCTTTCGGAGGCAAACCAATCATCACCACAGAACAGGTCCAATTCAGCTGCAGTACGATTACGAATGGTCATGTAATGGATGTCAAGTTCTGACTTGCTTCTGTTCAAAACTGCAATCTAGTACAACCAGGAATGTACTTGAACTGCATCTTTTGAGTGTACGTAAGTCTTTCGAATCCCATACATTAGTTATCACTAATGTCCGAGAGCTAGTGTTGATACAAGTGTGCTTGTTCGTTTCAAAGACGTAGTCGTTATTTAAGATAAATAAACATTTCTTATTGATCCTGTTATCGACTAGTCACCGAGGCGTGTAAACAGATCAAGACCTGACCACGGCTACTCGTTACGCGGTATGTTTATTGAGACGCATTCCCTCTCTCTGGTGACGTCCAACCAAACAAGTGATATCACTGTAGACAGTCGAGATGTGCATGTGGTTTTGAAGGAGGAATAGGGGACGAGATAGGCACGTGCGGATACACGCTATAGCCTATCCGAGGTAGGAACAAATGTAATATATGAACTTTATAATGCATTGTTTATTCCTTATCTATCGCTGGCATAATGTCACTTGAAATTTGCAGCTTCGGTTTCGCGTCTCATCATCAAATCACAGTTTCAGTATTAATTGTTGTTCTCGGAGTCCAGAAGGAAATGTCATGCAATAATTCTGTCCAATTTTCCCTCAATATCACGTATGCTTTGTCTATTCCCTTGAAACCAGATATGAGTCCCAAAACCGTTTTGTTCCATATTATATAGACTGTTCGGCCTTTATCGACATCAAGCTGGTTTTCTACAGATTCCAGAAAGAACTGAAGAACAGAATGCATAATTTTTGTGGTAACACTATGCCGCAGAGGTTACGTTTCACAGTTTGTGAATAGTAATCTTCCGTTGGTTGGAAAAGATTAGCTTATTACTCTGGTTCTGTACCTCGTCTTTACTCCGTATTATGCATCCAATGCCAAACACAACTCAAAGAACTTATTGTCTTCGCTCTTTGAAGCAAAACCAAACTGTTCACAGTTCTGCTCAATCCGCAAAACAAATCCCGGAACTTCGGAAAGAGAATATGGTCTGTCGCTGTGATGTCCGGTCGTNTCATCCCGTCCGCTTTTTCAAGTTTAACTGTATTAATGGGCCTTCATACATATTATATATATATATATGG